GCCCTGTTTGTCTCCCCAAAACAGAGAGCTCACAAAGACAAAGAAAAAAAACACCTTTTCACACACTGCCACAAGTTGATTACTAAATCAACGTACTTTACTTAGGAAAGACAAAGGTCCATTCATCACTATCTGTTGAATAAAACAGGTTTATTGATTACAGATGTTTCTATAATAATTCATAAGTATCTTCTTCAGGTTCATCAAGCATCAATAACTATCTTCTGTATTACAGGTTACTATTCACTCCTCAGACTAATCACTCCTCAAATTCCCAAACTAACTCTCTCTCCTCCTCTCCCTTCAAAACTCCGATCCAGACGGTAAACTAAACTCCTCTCTGGCTCTGCCTTTTAACATCTCTAGTGGCCCCACCTCTCAACCACATCAGCATAAAACATGAACAATGCATGACTTATTTAACATAATAAGGGTGAACACCACACCCCCTCCCCCATAATTCCTTGAGGGCACAAAGGGACTTTTTTCCTATTGGCTACTCCTGAAAAGTTCCTGAAGTTTATTGACTTAAGTTGTGAAAGAGAGTCTGATTTGAGTTTCTTCTCAGTTGTAAAATTCCTAGGTAACTTTAAGCAAGCTGTCATCTCTCTGACATATGGAAAACAAATGCAATATATAGTACCAGAAATATTTCTATATCATTATTGCTTGCCCATAAGATAGATACAGTATATCACAGAAGCGAGTACACCTCCTCACATTTTATAAATATTTTAGTATATCTTTTTATGTGACTACACTGAAGAAATGACACTTGGCTACAGTGTAAAGCAGTGAGTATACAGATTGTATAACAATGTGAATGTGCTGTCCCCTTAAAATAACACAACACAGCCATTAATGTCTAAACCGCTGGCTAAAAAGTGAGTATACCCCTAAGCGATAATGTCCAAATTGGGCACACAGTGTCAATATTTTGTGTGGCCACCATTATTTTCCAGCACTGTCTTAACCCTCTTGGGCATAGAGTTCACCAGAGCTTCACAGGTTGCCACTGGAATCCTCTTCCACTCCTCCATGACGACATCACAGAGCTGGTGGATGTTAGAGACCTTGCATACCTCCACCTTTCGTTTCAGGTTGCCTCACAAATGCTCAATAGGGTTTAGGTCTGGAGACATGCTTGGCAAGTCAATCACCTTTACCCTCAGCTTTTTTAGCAAGGCAGTGGTTTCTTTGGAGTTGTTTTTGGGGTTGTTATCATGTTGGAATACTGCCCTGCAGCCCCGTCTGTGAAGGGAGGGTTAGAGACCTTGCATACCTCCACCTTTCGTTTCAGGTTGCCTCACAAATGCTCAATAGGGTTTAGGTCTGGAGACATGCTTGGCAAGTCAATCACCTTTACCCTCAGCTTTTTTAGCAAGGCAGTGGTTTCTTTGGAGTTGTTTTTGGGGTTGTTATCATGTTGGAATACTGCCCTGCAGCCCCGTCTGTGAAGGGAGGGGATCATGCTCTGCTTCAGTATGTCACAGTATATGTTGGCATTCATGGTATCAATGAAATGTAGCTCCCCAGGGCCGGCAGCACTCATGCAGCCCCAGACCATGACATTCCCACCGCCATGCTTGACTATAGGCATGACACATTTGTCTTTGTACTCCTCACCCGGTTGCTATCACACATGCTTGACACCATCTGAACCAAATAAGTTTATCTTGGTCTCACCGGACCACAGGACATGGTTCCAGAAATCCATGTTCTTAGTGTGCTTGTCTGCAGCAAACTATATGCAGGCTTTCTTATGCATCATCTTTAGAAAAGGCTTCCTTCTAGGATGACAGCCCTGGAGACCAGTTTGATGCAGTGTGTGGGGTATGGTCTGACCCCCCCCCATCCCTTCAGCCTCTGTAGCAATGCTGGCAGAATTCATACATCTATTTCTCAAAGCCAACCTCTGGATATGACACTGAGCACGGGCACTCAGCTTCTTTGGTCAACCATGGCGAGGCCTGTTCTGAATGGAACCTGTCCTGTTAAACCACCGTATGGTCTTGGCCACCATGCTGAAGCTCTGTTTCAGGGTTTTGGCAGTCTTTTTATAGCCTAGGCCATCTTTATGTACAGCAATAATTGTTTTGTTCCAATCCTCAGATAGTTTATTACCATGAGGTGCCATGTGGAACTTCCAGTGACCAGTCTGAGAGAGTGAGAGTGGTAATACCTGAGACTTTTGACACTAACGGGTCTCATGACACCAGGGAGGGAAAATGGGTACTTGGGCCCAATTTGGACATTGTCACTTAGGGGTGTAGTCACTTTTGTTTCCAGCGATTTAGACATTGATGCTGTGTGTTGCATTATTTAGAGGGGACAGCATATTTACACTGTTATACAAGCTGTATACTCACTGCTTCACATTGTAGCCAAGTGTCATTTCTTCTGTGTTGTCCCATGAAAAGATACTGTATTTTTCAATGTACAAAATGATACTTTTTCCTAAAATAATTAGAGGAAAATTTGAGAGTCGTTTTATACGCAGACGGAGACAGTCACGCATGCACTCAGGTGCCTCTTGCTGCCGCTGCCGCCTCACGGCTTGTCCCCTCCGGTGGCTGAGACAGCAGGAGGAGGAGGAGGAGGAAATGGAGGAAAAGGAGCATTCACACATGCTTGGGTGCCTCTTGCGGCTGCCTCCCCCACCTGCCTGATCACCATCTCCAGTGGGACTCATGGGCTCAGCTCACGTCGGCATCTTGTCCCTTCCAGTGGTGGAGGCAGCAGGAGCCAGAAGCGAAGGAGCAGTCACACGCGCTTGGGTGCCTCTTGCTGCTGCCTCCCCTGCCTGCCCAATCACCACCTCCCGTGGGACTGACAGGCTCAGCTCACATCACCATCTTGTCCCCTCCAGTGGGGGAGGCAAGAGGAGGCAGAGGCGGAGGTAAACAAGCGCTCACATGCGCTCGGGTGCCTCTTCCTGTAGCTGCCACCACTGGATCTCCTCTCCAGAGATTGTCTCCTTAGGGCAGGGGACAAGGCGGCAAGGTGAGCCCTGGCAGTTGCACTGGAGAAGGTCATCAGGCGGGCAGCGGAGGCAGCAGCAGGAGACAGAGGTGTAGGAGGTGTAGGAGCAGTTGCCCATTAACTGCTCCTCTGCCTCCATCAAGGAGTCGAAATTAGGGGGTCATTTTATACATTGGGGGGTCATGCACATGGAAAAATATCGTATAGTAAAATATTTATGAAATATGAGGTGGTGTACTCACTTCTGTGATATACTGTATGCATGCAAGTACTTGTTTATTATAGGCTACTTACTGATGTTTCTTGAATAATTATTTGAGCTTATTTCACTTAATTAATATTATTTAACAGATGAACAAGACAGTTTTAAATATTAGTTTAATATGTTTCCATGGTGGAAGTGTTCGTGGACATGCATATTCATGTGTCTGCATGTGCATGCTGCTGTTGCGAGTTCCCATTCACTTTTCAGTTGTAGTGAGAAGCTTTGTGTTGACTCATAGAGACAAAATGATCTGTATCTCAGTCTTAGCCCTGGAGAATGACTCATGCAGTGCGTTGTCGTAATTTAATAGTTTAAGATGGAGGGGTGCATTGATTTTTACAGCAGGTGCGAATAATGCAGAAGCACTATGTAGCACACATTGGGGAGTGGAGGATAACAATCTAAGTTTGATCTGGTATAGATTTTCCTCCCAACTAGGCAGAAAAGCCATTTTAAGGCCACAGAAGAAGCAGCTGCAGCTGCAGTATTTTCAGAACTGTGTACAATTCAGAGTACCTGGGACAGCTATAGCTGCAGTTTTCTTATTTCAATATGTCTAATTCATCTGTTCAGATCTTGAAATCTCATCCCATCTCTTAGAAGAAGCATTTTTTATCTTTCTAATTCACATCTATGGTTTCTCTGAAATCTGAAGCTCAAAGGCAACCCCAGGGGGTTTATCTCAAGGTCACTTGTTTGTGGTAGGTGTGACTTGTATGAGCAAGTGTGGATTTTCCTCTGCCCTCCTCCTTGTTTATCTTCCTTTTTCACATATTGCCAATAGTAAGAGGAGGATCCACACCTCTGTTTCTTAATTTGTGACTGCAAAATCCAGCAGACTGCGTTAAATTACTAGAGAGATGCTTTGATGATGGTAAGCAATTTTCCTGAGTAAGCATGTAGCAGGACCAGCTGAGCCTCACTGAAATAAGTAATTATGCTTGCCCTAAAGGAAAGCATATATTTTGATCCTTTGTCTTCCAAATGCATGTGTTTTTGTTTTGTTTCTTGTTCTTTTCAAAAGAGAAAATGATTGTTTTGACTTATCCTTTGTCTTACCAGCAAGAACACTGGCCCCTTCTTCTCAAAAAAATTAAGATACACCTTTGCATAAAACTACCAAAGGGAAGTTTTATTTGGGGAAACTACCTTCACAAAGGATATTGAGAGACTTCAGAAATAGGAATCCTCAAAGAGGAAAATACCAAAATGTCCCAGATATGTGATAGGGAAGGAAAAAAAAACTTTTGCTGCTCATCAATAGATGCTGAATGGCTGTTGCAAGTGACATCTCTATGGCAGTTTTGTTTTCCTTTACAGAGAATTCTCCCCTCATACTTTGTTATCCTGTCTCTTTTGCCCTTCTGTTGTTTTATTTTTGCTGCTAGATACTTGGAGAGTTAATTGTATTCACATTTAAATGTGAGGGAAGTAACCTCCAGTGACAGTTCAGCAGATTCATTTTCTTCTTCCGTCTCTCATTATGTTATATTCTGCTTTCTTCTTTTATGCACTGTGTAATAGAACCAGTAAGGTCAGAATCTGTTATCCAAAAGCATCACTGGAAACGTTGCAGAAGGATTTGCTGGGGATTTGTCATGGTTATATTTTTGTGAAGAAACCCTTATTCTGTGCAACTGGCAGATTATGCATCTCCTTTGATGCTGTGGACGAGGATGCATAAAGATTCCGTAACAGAAGATGCTGGCCATTTGGCGTCTGTTAATAGCTTGAAAGTAACTGATGAAGAGGATGTGCATTCAGAACGATTGATTGAATAGCTGCAGTCTTCTCTCGTGCATTTCTTTCTTGCTTTCTGCAAGCTGTAGTGAAGGGAGGGAGATGGTTGGGAGAAATCCGGCTTTCTCTTAAGTGGAAATAGCACGTATCCCAAGGGCCAGGAGACCAGAAATGGAAGTTTAAGCTGTATCTGTCTCCTGAAAGAACAGCGAAAGATTAAAAAAATGTAAAAAAAATGCCAGCCTCCAGAGCCGTAGTTTATTTTATTCCTTTTTAATCCTGAAGATAACGATGGACTTTCTCTTAATATGTTGTTTTTCCTATTCTGTGTGGAGTACCTCTCTGTTAAGCTGGATTCCTTTAAGTTTAAGCTTTTGAACAGGAGATGGGCAGCAGCTGTGATAAAGGTATCTATCTACTTTTTTTAATATGTGAAATTTACACATACAGTATTAGGTTAAAATCAAGAACGATTCTGTCATCTTTATTTAGTCAAATTAAAAGTCATAGCTTAGGTCATGCTGTCAGAACAAGAGGAAATTAACAATATTTTATCTGCAGAGGTGTTTTAATATTTATCACTGAGTATGTGACTATTTTGATGGGTTTAGTGATAGTAGTAGTAGTTTTTGTATGCCACTTTTCTCCCAGCAAGGGACCCAAGGTGGCTCACAGCATTAATGTGTGCATACTTTGGAATAAATACTATGTAATTCAGTTGGACTTACTTATTAGCAAACTTGCCTAAGTATGGGCTGTTAATGTACTATGGGTTGTTAATGTAGTCACTAGGAAAAAAGTGATATAGAAATAAAACAAACAAATAAATTAATTAATATTAAACTATCAGTTGACTATGCTGACTGTTTGAGACTGAACTCTGACTTTTATTAAATTGTGTTTATTAAATTGCCTGCTGTTCAAAGATGGGTTGAATGTACGCATTGCAATGCAAGCAAAAATAGATTTTGCATAATTTTTAAATAATGAGACATATACTGGTATCTAGAAAATAAATTCTTAAATTCTTTTCCCTATTTATATTCTTTTCTCTTGTCCCCCACCCCAAACCCAGAGGTCCCGGCCGAGAGGTCTCCTCGCAGACGGAGTATCTCAGGGACAAGCACATCAGACAAAGCCAATCCCATGGATGCATCAAATACATCTCCATTCAAAGTCCCGGTAAGTCTTCCTTTTCTTTGAGTGGGACTTCCCATTTGAACTCAAGGCAGTGACTAAAATGGTATATTAAATCACAGCGTATCTTCTAAATTCTGTATGCAGAACCGAGCCAACAAATATATTGTCTGAAGTTGTCAGACAGATTTCTCCTCTGATGTTTGAAAAATTGATTCCTGGCTTTTTAATATTCATTGAAAGTCACAAATGTCTTCAAATCCTATGAAAATATTGTCTATTCTGATGATATTGTGTTGACCTTATAGTAGATAGTTAAGATGTTCAACAAAGATGAGCCCATGTTTAGGACAGATTTCACATTCTTCTTCTGGTACAACTTTAGATAAGATTCACTTTTTTCTATCCAAAGTGTTGTAAGTGGAGTCCCCGTTGGATTAGAATTCAAAATTCATATAGGCGTCACAGATTTTAAAAAGAACAACAATCAGTATTACAAATAATCAGCATAATCTTCCAAACACATTGAAATTTGGGCTCATTTCATTGCTAGGGTCTTTGTGAAAGTAACAGGAAAAATATATCAATGGATTAAAAAGCAATACTGTGGAACTATGCACTGTTTCACAGGCAGAGGAATTTATCAGTGCCTTTATCATCCTCTTCAGTTTGCTTCAGTGAACTCTTTTTTGTTTTAAATTATTTCGGGTTAGTAATTTCAATCCAGAGGAACTGGATTCAGTCCAAACAGTCTGGATTTTGATGTGTTCTCAAAGGCTTTCACATCTGGGATCCTATGGTTGTTGTGGGTTTTTTGAGCTGTTTGGCCATGTTCTGGAGATTTTTCTTCCTAACGTTTCTTCAGTCTCTGTGGCTGGCATCCTCAGAGGACAGGAGCTAGAATTTTGCCTGACGTAATTGTAGTTTCTGTCCTCTGAGGATGCTGGCCAAAGAGACTGGCGAAACATTAGGAAGACAAACCTCCAGAACATGGCCAAACAGCCCGAAGAACCCCACAACAACCAGTCTGGATTTTCTTCCCAGGTTTCTTTTACAGTACCAAAGAATGAACCAAAGGACAGCCCATGCATCATTTTTCTGTAGCTTTTCTATTAGTACGCTTAGACAACATGCTCAGTTACAGCACAAAGTAAGTTAAAGCTGAAGAGCTAAAGGGCACATCAAATGAAGATATACTTTTTAAAAGGCATCTTTCAGCTATAATATTCAAGGTTGTTGTTTTATGATTTATTTTAACAGTCTTTATAAGCTAGAGAAAGGACCTTTTATTCACACTAGTGCAGTATTCTTCTAATAAATGAATACTTTTCTTACTTGTCTTTGTCCTCCCTCCTCATTCCCTGTTCCAAACATTGAGACTAATCATTTCTAGAGAACCATGGTTTCCTATTTGTTTAAGTTCTTGATATATAGGCTGTTTTAAAATTTGCTGTTGATATTTTGAAATCCATCCCCATCATGATTTATTCTTGACTACTCTCTCAGTGTTTGTGTAATGTAAAGTGAATCACTGTTTGATAAAAATTAACAATGTAATCTATACCTAATTCATAATATATGCATTAGCATGAGTATTGAAAATAAAGATGAAGTGGCTCTTAATAACTTCATGACACTTCATCTAGTATTGTTGACAACAGTGCAAGAATCCCCCACAATGCTGTTTTTCATGTGCATGCATGTGCATGCGCAATCAACCCTCACTAGCAGGAGTCGACCAGAAAGAGGTCCAGCTCCCATTCTTCCTTCCTGTTCCCCTGCGTAATGGGACTGGAAGGTATTAGGGAGCTCCTTCCACATATATATTCCCAAATGTTCACCACCCTTGATTTGCAAAAAAGAAAAAAACAGATGTGGTTGCTTTTGGACCAAAGTAAATTGGATTCAAATACTTGCTCACCATTTTTGTTTGTTAGTCTTACATGAGGCACTGACTATATTTAAATATAAAAATAACTCATAACTATTGAGAATTGTTGCCAGTTTCTTCACCTCATAGGCAGGTGTAGCTAAACAAAGAAGAGCTAATAAAGAAGCCAAAGCCTTTGCTCTCCAAATCTGCACTCAAATTGCCACTCTTTTAATGGAATAGGAAAATGTTTTAAGACCCTGACTTTAGATACCAATTTCTTGGAGGGGAAAAAACAGGACTTTGGCTTCAGGTATAATGTAAAGCTTTTGCTTCTTTTTGTACTTTCTATTCATTTAACTGCTCAATCAGGACCCACTGGGAGTGGTTGGTTAGTGTATATAAGCACAAGACCCAGTTGCAGAAAATCCAGCAAATGAACACTTTGTTCCTTTTCGTTTTTTGGAAGATTGTTCTCCAGCGATCAAACATTTCAGAACCATTAATACCTGAGAGATTCAATGTGCAGATTGAGTTTTCTTCTTCCAATTAAATAATTGTGTTTATTGGTTGTTGTGGGGTTTTCGGGCTCTTTGGCCATGTTCTGAAGGTTGTTCTTCCTAATGTTTCGCCAGTCTCTGTGGCGGCATCTTCAGAGGACAGGAGTAGAACTACAATAAATGTGTTTATTGTGTATTTTCTTTTAAATAGGTCAACCTATTGTATGAGAGGTACTGCTAAACCAAATGCCCTTGAGTAATTGAACATTATGGAAAGCCATCACCCCCTGCCATATAAAATTCTCCCACTGTCAGATTTTAATAGGGAGCCTTCTTTCCAACCACTCATCAGGCAACCCTGATGTAGATTGATCTCTTAAGTGAGGAAAGAGTGATGCGTTCAGCAGGAAATCAGTAGTGAGAGGGATTTGACCATGGAGGGTGTAAGCAATCCCCCATCTCCAAGGAGATTAAGGGGAAGCCGGAGATGGAGAGATTTCAGAGTTTAGCCAGTCCTTATTAGCTAAGATGAGCCCAATTTCTCAGCCAGGCCCTGACTAACACTCCTTCCTCAAGTCCATCCTCTTGGTTAAGAAAAAGCAACAAACACAGACAATCCATGAGTTTACACTCAGGCTAATCTGGGCTCCATATGGTAGCAAAATATTTGTGGCCAATTAGTTAGGCTAGTTTGTACAAGAGACCAATGCACGCAATCTTAAACATATTGCTTTTATTCAGAAAGATAGTTCTAAACAGAATTCAGGCTATAGCAAAGTAATTTAGTCAGTAACATTTCCATATCAAGTCAGACAGACCACCCCACAAACTCCAGCTAAAAAAAAAACACAAGAAAACATACTAAGCTAGAATTATGCATAGGCGTTGTCTTTCTTACGTATCCTGTGACTCCATAGTCCATCATGAAAGGTTAGATTCCAGTTGTAATCCAAAAGTCCATGTTGCAAAAAGACTCCATTCAAAAGTTATAATCCATTTTGGGAAAAAGCACATGTCTGTCCTTTCTCAGTCAAACTCCATCTTTTTTTTCCACTTCTCCCAACTTCCTTCTTCTTCCCAGAATTCCTCATAAGGAACACCCCCTCCTGGGTCTTGTTGTCCCGCCTAACTGTCTTATGGGAGCTTGAGTCGTTATCATGTTTTGTAGCAGAATTATTACGACTACCAGGAATGTAACTCTCTGGCTCTTCTTAGCAACTAGATAACCAGAGAACGAAGCTTCTCTGAAACAGCATGTAAAATTTTCCTACCACAAACACAGACATTAAATCAAGATGGATGCTATTGGGACAATCTTAGGACTACATATCCCATTCTAATACACATAAAAACACAAATCATCACAGAGGGCTACAAGGATGCTGTGGCAGTCCCACTGTGCCTTTGGTGGAGGTCTCTATATAGCCCCCAAGTTGCAGATTAGTCTTAAGGAATGCTGAAAGAATAAAAAATCATCTGGTCTGAAATTTAGGTAAATACAAACTCAGACCAACAACACATGGCATATTACACTGTGTAATGATTTATTTTACAAAAATAAAGCTGAAATGGAAAAGCCATGTGTGAAAAACTAAGTACACCTCATGATTCAATAACTCGTAGAACCAGCATTTGCAGCAGTAAGTTCAAATAATCATTTTCTGTATGACATTATAAGTCTCTCATGTATGTGGAAGAAGTTTGGCCCACACTTCTTTACAATGTTGCTTCAGTTCATTAAGGTTTGCAGGCATTTGTTTATGCACAACTCTTGTAAGGTCCTGCCACAGCAGTTGAATTGGGTTGAGGTCTGGACTTTGACTGGGCCATTGCAAAACCTTAGTTCTTTTCTTTTTTTCCCCCAGTAGATTTACTGGTGTGCTTGGGATCATAGTCCTGCTGCATGATCCATTTTCACTCAAGATTTACCGTATTTTTTGCACCATAAGACACACTTTCCCCCCACAAAACAGGGGGGTGGAAAGTCTGTGCGTCTTATGGAGCGAAGAAAACATTATATTTTCCTGTTTTCTTCTCCTAAAAAATTGATGCGTCTTATGGAAAGGTGCGTCTTATGGAGCGAAAAATACGGTAGTTGTTGGGCAGATGGCCTCACATTTGACTCTAGAATACTTTGGTATATGGAGGAGTTCATGGTCAGCCCAATAACTGCAAGGTGCCCTGGTCCTGTGGCTGCAAAACAAGCTGAAATCATCACCCCTCCACCACTGTGCTTGACAGTTCATATCCGCTGTTTGTGCTGATATCCTGTGTTTAGTTTTCACCAAATGTGTCACTGTGCTTTGTGGCCAGACATCTCCACTTTGGTCTCATCTGTCCAAAGGACATTGTTCCAAAAGTCTTGTGGTTGGTTTGCCTAGATGTAACTTTGCAAAACTAAACTATGCTGCCATGTTCTTTATTGAGAGAAGAGGCTTTCTTCTGGTAACCCTTCCAAAACACACCATACTTGCTCAATCTTTTTCTAATTATACTGTCATGAACTTTAATGTTTAGCATGCTAACTGAGGCCTGTAGAACCTGATATGTAACTCTAGGTTTTTTTGCAATTTTTCTGAGCATTGCACTGTCTGACCTTGGGATGGATTTGCTTGGACGCCCACTCCTAGGAAGACTGGAATGTTTTCCACTTTTGAATAATCTTCCTCACTGTA